TAGTTCCATACTTTCTAGTATCATAAGATGCTCCAAACTCATCTTGTACTTTAAATTATCTGCACTTGCCCTGGAATCAGCCTTTTCTCCAAGGAGCCCTGGTTCCTTACATGAAAGAAAGGTCTTAGAGACCAATATCTGGTTGCTTGATGTGCTGGGAGGGATCCCTGCTTCTTGGCTGATGACATTTTTTGTAGTCTCCCTGAACCTTCCCCAGTGTGCTTCACCCAATCTTTCCAAAGTCGCTGCTTGGCGTTTCCCTATACTTTATAACCAGGATATTTGTTAGCAAGGAAATTGTGTGTTCCCTTGTTGTCCAATTCCCTTCCTATTTAACGATCATCTTAGCTTTTTGTTCTTTCTTTCAATTGTCAGGCTTGGCTTTCTTGGTGAGGCTGCCTTTGGTAAAAGGGAACGTAAAATGTTCATCAGATCCTCCTTGGAGATCCTTTGAAGTTTCATGTTTTCACTGTTGCCTTGGGTAGACACCATAATGGAGTAGTGTGTCCTTGGTCAAAAGCCCCAGATGCAGATTTTCCCTTTCTGTATTTCTACACTTTTATAGACTGAATGTTTGTGTTCCCCCAAATTCATATATTGAAGCCTATTCCCCCACTGTTAGGAGGTGGGGCCTTTGGGTGGTGATTAGGTCACAAAGGTGAGCTCAGTGAAGGGTATTAGTGCTTTATAAAAGGGACCCAGAGATCTCTCCTGTCCCTCCATCACATGAGGACATAGGGAAATATGACTGTCTTTGTACCAGGAAGCTCTCAAAAGACGTTGAATCTGCTGACACCTTGATCATGGACTTCTAGCCTCCAAAACAATGAGAACTAAATTTTTGTTGCTTATGAGTACCCAATCTGTGTAGTTTTTGTTTTAGCAGCCCGAATAGACTGAGATACACACCAACACTTAACAGAAGTCCCCACCATTGCCTGTCTGTAGGTGGGTCTTCAGCCCCCCTCATGTGTCCGTTATGCAGGTCTGGCTTGTCACCCCAGCCAGCCTTCTGGCATCACTGTACTCTCAGATGCTTTCCAGTGCTGCTGTTGAACTCACACCCTCCCCCTGCTTTCCTTCATGAGCTTGCTTCTCTCTTCTAACGAGAAGAGAAGGAAAGCCTCTGCACACGCAGAGTGCTCAGACGCTCCACGCTGTCGTGTGTGGGCAGCGGGCTCGTTGCCTTCTCTGGCTAGCGCAGTACTGCCCTATAACCACCTCGGCATCCACCGGCACCCAAATAAACGTGCAGGACATGTGAACACAAACACCCTGGCTCCCCAGTCTCGCCAGTCACTCCTGTGTAAACAAGCTGGGACCCACAGCTGGTGCCCAGAATGATGTACATCACCCTGGTCAGTTAGAAGTGGCCATGCTACCTAGTGTGTCCTGACAACAGAGAAATCTATGCCCATCATAGGACCTAAGAGAACTACAGAACCTGCCCCTTCTCCCACATGGCCTAGAACCACCAATGAGAGGCTCCTTCTCCAGGGGAAGATGTGGTGACAGGTCAGTCACTACCCTCCAGGAACAGTTTCAGGAAGACTAGGTTTATTCCACAAGAACTGCCTGGAGAAAAAATTCAAATGGGATTAGACATCAGAAATGGAGTCCTGTAGGTGTGCTGTGTGTGGGGTCCTTAGTCCTTTCCATATGGCCTTAGCTAGTTTGGGCTTCCCCCAGGATGAGTGTCCCAAAAGGAGAAGTCAGTAGAACCTGTACCTTTGGAAGATGTGGTGTCACTTCTGCCATCTTCCAGGTCGGGCAGTCACAGGCCTGCCCACAATCATGAGTGGACATGGCAACATGCACAGACATGGTGCTGGCTGTGGACCATCTGGGAAAGTGGGCTGTAAACTACTCTTTCTAGCCCTTTAAAAATCAGGTGACTGAATGTGCTTGCTAAGATATGTTTCATTCAAATGTGGTCAAAATTATACTTGTTGCAAAAGAGACCCTTCCTTTTAAGCTTTCATGCCTCCCCAAATAATCCCTCTTCCCCTGACGTGCATACTCACCCAATGACCTTCCTTCCTGTTTGACACAACCATCTCTGTTTTGTGGCCTTGTATCTGAAGCACTCAGTATCCTCTTTGGTAGTCAGTAGCTACAGAACCCTTTGAAAATTCAACAGCAGCTAAGGAAGAAACCCCAGGACACATCCCAGGCCACATCTGGGATATTGCTGCTTCACACCCACGTTGCAGCGTCATTGTGATTTTAAACA